TATATAGAGAGAGAGAGAGAGAGAGAGAGAGAGAGAGAAAGGGAGAAATAAAAATTTTTAAATGACATAAATTTTTTTTAAAACAAGGAAAAGCCCTAACATGACATTATAAGACAAGGAACAAACCTCCAAAGATGTCGTTGAGTTTGTTTTATGTTGGCCATCTACTGCTGGGCATGCAGTAGTATTTATTTGTGTGTTTCACCAATGAGACTCCCTTGGAGGAACTAAACTTTAATTTGCAAGTGGCCGTCAATCGTTTACAGACGGGTGTTCCAAGGTGTCTCACTCTCAGTGCAATGTCTGGTTGTGGGTCTCTGTATTTGTTCCCATCTGCTGTAGAAGGAAACTTCTTTGATGGAGGCTGAACAAGGCTCTAATCCATCGGTTCTCAACCTATGGGTTGTGACCCCTTTGAGTGGTCAAACGACCCTATCACAGGGGTTGCCTAAGACTATCTACAGATCATATATTTACATTATGATTTATTACAGCAAATTACAGTTATGAAGTAGCAATGAAAATAATTTTATGGTTGATGGTCACCATAAAGGGTTGCAGCATTAGGAAGGTTGAGAACCACTGATCTATCTATTAGTATTGCAAAATGTCATTAGGAGTCATTTTATTGTTATGCTTTATTTCTATCTATTTATTATTTTTAAAACAGTAGTATTTGGTTTTACCCTGGGTTCCTGGGCTATCTGGTCTCAGGTTCATGGTCACCCAAGCAGAATCATGTATGGGTTCCATCTTACAGAGTGAGCCTTAAGTCAAATCAGATATTGGTTGGTTATTCCCACAAGCTTTGTGACACCATTGCACTAGCATATCTTGCATTTGGGACACCATTGCAGATCAAACTGTTAGTGTCTGGCTTCATGTTTTGTATTTCTCCTTTGGTAGCATGCAGAGTACCTTGCTATACCAAAAAACACTAGAACATAGGAGTGAAGGCTCTTTGTAGGCACCAACTTGATTTCTCCAGGTTCAGTGAGTTGTATAGGTGTTGTCTTTAGCAATGGCGAGTTGCCATCCTTTTGTGGAGAACAATCTATAGTCTTGGCAATAGCCTGAGATGTTTTGGGGGTTCCCATGGGACCACTTTGCCCAACAATTCAATTAGATATAACCAATCCTGGGACCCAGCCCCCGCCCCATCTATCCATCTATACATCCATAAATACTCTATTTCCTGTTCCTGGGGACATCTATCTACACCCACTTACTGTATACCTAACATCTGTGATTCTATGAGTTGTGGCTTGGTTATCATTGGCTTAATGTCTAATATTCACATGTAAGTGAATACTTATTATATTTGTCTTTCTGGGTCTGGGTTACCTTACTCAGGATAACTTTCTCTAGTTCCATCCATTTTCCTGCAAATTTCATTTGTTTTAAATGACTGAGATCCACTGTATAAATACACAACAACAATTTTTTTTTAATTCACTCATCTGTTGAGGGACATGGAGGTTCTTTCTGATCTCTGGCTATTATGAATAAAGCAGCAATGAGCAAGTGTTGCTATGGTGGAATGAAGCATCCTTTGGGAAAGTGTCCGAGAGAATCACTGTCTTTTTTTTAAAGATGTGAACTAAACACAGACACACATGGTGAGCAGTGACCTCATGAGACCCTCGCCAGTAACAAAAGGCAGCAGTGAGTCCTAGCTAGAGAAGAATGGGCAAATCAATTAGGTTTTATTATTTGCAATGTATGTGGGCTACATTTTAGAGTGGCACTTTAGACTATCTCTTGGTCACCTAGGACCTTGGAGCCAGCCTTAAAGTACAAATACCACAAATGACAAGCAGTGGCCATCAATGCCTTCACTAACCAGGGAAGCAGCAGGGGATTTTCACCTGTGTATGCATTAGAATGAGATTCCGGGTATGTTTTTCCTAACTGTCACCACTTCTTCTAAATCTGAATTATGTGGAACTTTGTCATTGTATTATTTAGGTCATTGTGGATGTGACTGTATGCACATATATGGTGGTATAAACAGAGAAAGTTAATTAAGAAAGAGAAAGACAGCCCCAAGAATGTGTGCAAGCTGGGAAAAGGCATAGGCTCAAAAGTCTAGTTTATATTTGAATCTGGCCTTTGAGCATAAATAATAAATAATATATCCCATAGCTTATATTTCAAAATATGAAAGTAATATTTGTCTATTCTAAATTGTCTTTTGATAAAAGAATTTCCTTTGAACTTAACATTGCCAACATCTTCTGAAGTTATTTAAATTCCACTCACGTGGATTACTTTTCTTTCACAGCTGGTTTAATTCTTCTATTTCCAGAATTTCAGATCACAAAAAAAAATTAATGGAAATTATGTCATCTTGGGTTGGCCTTACTAGAAAAAGCTGCAGATCTTAGTTCCTAGACTTTGATCCAAACTGGGATGTTAACTTTATGCAGGTGAATGTCTGTTCTCTAACCTTCCAAAGACACCTGGAAAAAGATGTTCTTGTATATCCTAATTTCTTCCCCACCACAGCAATGAAGTGAGTCCTGAAAACTGACATTTCAAATCTCTTGGTGCTGACTCAGTAGAGCAACTGTCAGTCATCTTTGGGATATTTGTATCTGTGTTTGCTACCAAAAAGTTTCTCTTGTCTCTGGCAGCCCTTGTGAAACTCACAAAAGCCTGATAGTTTGATTTCTTGATTGGCTGCCATTTCTTTCTTAGGCCCTTATATTACAGTGTTTTTTATTTTTTCAATTTGAACGAAAGTTTTTTTTAATGCTTTAATAAAACATATAATATTCTGCTTTGTTACTCCCTTTTTAGATTGAGAAGAAATGTGAGGCTCAAATAAACCTCCCTCTTCTGCCTCATAAGTCCACCATGGGTGTTGGGAAGTCGAAATTAGATAACTGCCCTCTTTCTTGGCATAAAAGACCCAGTGAGGATGCAGATCAAGACTGCCATGAATCAGTGGCCAAGAACTCTAAGGATGTGTCCTTGCATGATTTGGTGAAGCACAGCAATAGAACAGAGCAGCCGATGGGAGAGCAGGAGGGAGCGGAGGCAGAGGGAGAGCTGCCAGAGGAGGAAGCTGAAGAAGAAGTCTTCCTCAAATTTGTAATACTGCATGCAGAAGATGACGTAGATGAGGCTCTCAGGGTCCAGAATCTACTGCAAAATGACTTTGGTATCAGGCCTGGGATAATTTTCTCTGAGATGCCGTGTGGCAGGCTGCATTTGCAGAATCTAGATGATGCTGTAAATGGATCTGCATGGACGATCTTATTACTGACTGAAAACTTTCTAAGAGACACCTGGTGTAACTTTCAGTTCTACACCTCCCTGATGAATTCTGTGAACAGGCAACACAAGTACAATTCCGTCATACCTATGCGGCCCCTGAACAGCCCTCTTCCTCGGGAAAGGACTCCCTTGGTGCTACAGACCATCAATGCCTTAGAAGAAGAAAGCTTGGGCTTTTCTACACAAGTGGAGAGAATTTTTCAGGAGTCTGTGTATGAGAGGCAACAGACTATATGGAAAGAGACGCGAAATGTGATGCGAGGACAGCTCGTTGCCTGAGATGAAGCATACACCCGGCTGCCTCCTGTTTTGTAAACAAAATGATTCATCTTCACTTGAGAAAGCAGCGTCTAAGAAATGGTTCTGTATGAGTGAGTCGGCTTTCAAGAAATCTGTGGGCCACAAGAAAGGTACATTTCTGCAGGCCTAGGATTGTGGTGCTTTTTGATGATAAACTCAAGATGGTCCGTTTTGAGCACTTTTTGCTTAAAAAAAATAGTTTATGGATATTCTTAATTTGTTTCTTATGTTGAACCATGAATAGGCATATATGAAACATTTTCAAAAAACAATATTAAAAAAATCTTCTAAAGACATGAAGAAAATGCTTACGGCTGAGAGAGGTCTGATTACCTTCCTTCCTACTTCTCTCATGAATGTTACCACAGAGCATCCTGGTGCTGTCACCCAGAAACATGGATGGCCAGACTGGGATATGTGCAGTGTGGATGCACACAAGTAGGAGGTCAGAAGTAGACGTGAGAATGGTCAGGCTTTGGAAAACAATCCAGCCACGTGTGGTTTTGTTTCTGCTGGAGTTTGGAACCAATTCCTGCCAAGAATTATGAATCATTTTGAGAGTGTGGTAGCTAGGGACTCGCAAATGTCCTCTGACCTTGTCAGTGGCCGTCTGTAACCAGGGCTGTTTTATTCTCAGAGCTTGGGAAGTGTGTGATTCCCCAGTTGTTTACCTTAAAAATCAATAACCTCTTATGTGAGCCTTTAGAAATGTTCCTCTTACAGTGCTTGTCTCAGGGAATGTTTCTTATTTAGGGTGGTCTGACTGTGAGTGTTAGTGTGGTGGGAGTGGTGTGTGTTTGTGCAGAGAATGTATTTTTACCATCTCCACTTTCAGGGCCCAATGTGCATACCAAGCCAGGGAGGCCCACAGGGACCCATACCTTTCCCTCATAGAACCTTAGCCCATTTGAGACTGAAGCACTGCAAACAAGTACAAACTGGGCCTGTAGCTAAGGGTGAGTCATGTCAAATAATGAGAAAGTGCCCACTGGGGGCCGGGAGACCTACTTGCAAGCCAGCCTCTGCCACTGAGGATGAATGTGCCAGTGGGTAGCTATTCTCCTTTGTCTATGAAATGAAAGGGTTAGATTGATGGATCTCTAAAGGCTTTTGTCCTCTCCCAGGATGGGAAAAACTGGAAGCCAGAAAGCAATAAGCAAAGCCTTAAATGTTTATGAGGTTATACATAGTGTGATCATTGCAGAAGACATAATACATGCTTACAATGAATGGATATTTTTGTATATTTGCATCAGAGTTACAGGAAAGAATCTATACATGCTTATTCAGATTTTTGGTTTTGTTTTTATTCAGGGTCTCACTATGTAGCCCTGGCTGGCCTGAGAATTGCTGCATAACCAGGTTGGCATCAAAATCACAGATCCACCTGCCTCTGCCTCCTGAGTGCTGGAATTAAAGGTGTACACCACCACTGCCTGGCCAGATTTTTTTAACTAAATAAAGAGATAAATGTTAGGTACCAAGTAATTGTAGGTGTTGAAATTAGCAAGAAATGATCATCAAAATAACTAATGGTAAAAGGAGACAAAGGTGGGGGCCTTATCATGGGTTTTGTGTTTATATACACACACATAGGTTTAGATACACACATCAACCATTCTGAGAAATTCTGCCACATGCCAGCAGATTGTCACCCTGGGTACTCTGTGCCACCCACCTGGAGCTGCCATAAGGATCTTAGGTATGCCTGAATAAACAGCCCTCCATGGCCTAACGAGGAAGTTTACATTATCCTGGTAATCAGGAGGCAGAGGCAGGCAGATCTCAGTGAGTTCCAGGCCAGCCTGGTCTAAGAGTGAGTTCTAAGACAGCAGGGCTGTTACACAGAGACACCCTGTCTCAAACAATCAAACAAACAAATAATTAAATAAGATGTATAGTTCATCTAACTTAACAAGGCATCCTAGAATGTGTGGAGGCTTAATGAGGTCACTCAAGACCTAGGTTCCTTCATTCAGTGGAATATTATACAGGCTTTAAAAATAGTAAAATTTTAACATGTGCTATAGCATAAATGAACATTATGCTTAAAAAGAATAATATTGTAGGATTCCACATATATGTTGCAAATTCATAGAGAGAGTAATAGAGACAGACTTGGGGCTATAGAGGGAGAAATAGGATGTTAATTTTTTAGTAGTTAAAGAGTTTGGTTTGGACTAATGAGGGAGGTTCTGGTAAAGCCCTGGTTGTATACATTGTGAATGGACCTAATGCCATGAAACTGTACACTCAAAAAATTATTAAAACAATTCCTTCCAATGGCTGCATTTTTGCCACAGTAACTTTAAAAAGTAAACAACAACAAAACCCAAAAGTACAATATGGTGATATATTGTTTATGATTTAATAAAGCCACTGGAGATCAAAATGCAAAGCTAACCATAGCCATAGAGCCAGGCAATGGTGACACACACCTTTAATTCCACTTTAACAGCCACTCTAGTTAGCTTTAGAAGCTGCGCATACACCTTTAATCCCAGGACTCAGGAGACAACGGCAGATGCATCTCTGTTAGTTCAAGGTCACACTGAGCTACATGAAATTGATCCAGCTAAAAGAGAAACAGCTCACACAAAGGAGATATCAGCACTTGAGATCCCACTCCTTTAACCCCAGCTTTAGAGAGGTACATAAGACAGGAGTGGGACATTCAGTATTCAGTCCCTGTGTTTTTCTCCAGCCACACTGAGGACAGGACAGCCCTTTCAGCCTGCGGTAGAGGTAAGAGCTAGTGGCCAGCTGCTTTGCTTTTCTGATCTTCAGCTTGAACCCCAGTATCTGTCTCTGGGTTTTTATTATGCATGTTACAGTATAAGTCCAAGGTCTTCTTGCCTTTTTTGCTAGACCATTCTCAGTTTTTCAGTTGAGTTTCCTTCTGAATTGTGTTATGGCTGCCCCATGTCTGTCCCACCACACCCTGGAACACTGCCGTGAAGTCACACTAAATCCCAGCTTGGCCCTTTATTTTATTATTTTTTTCAGAAATAGTTTTAAGACACACACACAGAGAGAGAGAGAGAGAGAGAGAGAGAGAGAGAGAGAGAGAGAGAGAGAGACAGAGAGAGAGAGACAGAGACAGAGAGAAGTGAGGAAGAGAAAGAGAGAATTTTTTAAAACAAAAAAATTTGGACCTGAAGGCTAAATGTTTTAAGTGTTAACTTGATCATCATTAAAATGTGGCAGTTAGTAGAACTTTGCTAAAACTAACTTTAAAACATGGGTGAGGGCCAAGAATGCTATACAGAGGACCACTGCAATGTCCTTGGGCCACAGTTACAGGACAGTCTATACAGAAGTGATAGAAGTGATTGCTCACAGTTCTGAAGCCTGAGAGGTCCAAGGCCAAGGATGTCTTAGTTAGAATAGGGTTTCTATTGATGTGACAAAATACCATGAGGTTGGTGAAGAAGAGGTGTATTCAGCTTACACTTCCACATTGCTGTTCATCACCAAAGGAAGTTAGGACAGGAACTGAAGCAGGGCAGGAACCTGTAGGCAGGAGCTGATGCAGAGGCTATAGAGGGGTGCTGCATACTGGCTTGCTACCCCTGCTTTGCTTCGCCTGCTTTCAGAAAGAACCCAGGACCACCAGCCCAGGGATGGCAACACCCACAATGGACTGGACCCTCCCACATTGATGACTAAATGAGAAAATGCCTTACAGCTGGGTCTCATGGAGGCATTTCCTCAACTGAGGCTCCTTCCTCTCTGATGACTCTAGCTTGTTCAAGTTGACACAAAACCAGCCAGTACAAGGCCCTAACAGATTTGGTGTCTGGTGAGGGCCAGTTGTCCAGAAACAGCACCTTCTTGGTGTATCATCACATGAAAGAAGAGGAAACAGGTTCCTTGAAGCATCTTTAGTCGTGGCATGAGTCCTATTCTTGAGGGCAGAGCTTTCTTCCCCAATGGTCTCTCAAAGACCTGACCTTGTAACAACATCACATTGTGGATTAAGTTTCCACTTTGGAATTTTGGGTGTTCACACAGGTAGTCAGTCATCTATAAACCTTGCTGAATCTCAGTATCCTTCTCTAAAAATAAAGATAATACCCACAATAAAAAAGAGTCACTCTTAGGATTGTTGAATGGCTCACACACTGTCCTAGCTGGCTTTACATTGCTGTGGTAAAGGACTGACTAAAACCAACCTGGGTTTGTCTCATCTTACAACTCCCAGGTCATAGCCCATCACTGTGAGATGTTAGGGCGGGAGCCCAATGCAGAAAACTGGAATCAAAAAATGAAGCAGAACCACAGAGGAACACTGCTTATGCTCTCCAGGCTCATGTTTAACTACCTTTCTTAATATCCCCCAGGACCACTTGCCCAAGGGTGGCACCACCCCCAGTGGGCTGGGCCCTCCCACATCAATCATTAACTAAGAAAATACTCCACAGATTTCCCTACAGTCATTTTTTAATTGAGGTTCCCTCTTCCTAGATGACATAACACTTGTATCAAGTTGACAAACAAAAAACAAACTCCAAAACTAATCAACACACACACACACACACACACACACACACACACACACACATCTGTGCTACCAGCACTATCATTATTTAGCACATTTAACCTACAACATGGGAGAGGAAAGAGGGAAAGAATGTGTTTAATCCTACCCACAACCCTACTCCTAGAAAGATTGCTGCTTGTAGGGAACAGATTTAAAACAAAAGAGAAGCTACTGGGATTTCTTTGCAAGTGCACTGTCAAGAGAAAGGAGCTCCCTGATCTACCAGAGTGTGCAAGCTGCTAATTAGTGGTGGAATTTTTGCATAGAGAAAGCTGGTAGAAAGGATGGTGCTTCAGCAGGGTCATGTACATCTAAAAAATTGGGAAAGCTGGGCCATAAACTAGGAAAACAGAGAAATGGAGTATAGGAGCGTTAGTCTTGAAGCCATTCAGGGGAAGAGTAGCTCACGTAGGATGCCTTCAGCTCGGCTTTGTGAAGTAATTCTGCACACATTTGCATTTGGGGCATTTGGGCTATAATACATTTGATTTAGCCATTTATGGTGCTCTGCCCAGAGAAGTCTCATTTAGGAATGGGTAAAAGCTGGACTGTCTTCCTTGAGTTGCAGGAAGAATAGTCATGGATCCCCTTTGATCCTTGCTCTCCTATCTGACTTATCTTCCAGTTCAACAACTTCATGCTGGGGTTTTCCCAGGGCAAGACAGTGTTGTTTACCTCAGCCCTTGACTTTGCCTTTGCAAATCCTAAGGCCTTGGGGTGAAGATGGACCCTCCTGACATCATGGGGGCATCATGCTACTATTTCTAGAAACAGCTTCCTTGGACCCACACACCGTCTCACTGCAACTCAAAGCCAAAACCCTGAGCCTGGTTGGTGGTGGTCGTGGCCATTTTTTCAAACCCTGAAAGAGCCCAATTATTGTGTCTCTTGCTGTAAGTTGTATTGGTGTAAATGAGAAATGTCCTTGATAGTCTTGGCCATTTGAACATTTGGTCCCTGGTTGATAGCACTGTTTGGGGAGGTTTGAGATATGTGCCCTTGTTGAAGGAAGTCTGTCATTGGGAGTGGACTCATACCATTTCAGTTTGATTTCTCTCTGCCTAGTGCTTGTGGCTTGAAGATGTGAGCTCTCTGTTTCCTGCTGCAGCCACCATGCCTCATTTCTGCCCTCATGAACCCTAAGCCTCTGGAATCATCAGCCAAAATAAACTCTTTCTTCTGTAAATTGCCTTCGTCATGGTGTTTTATCACAACAACCCAAAAGTAACTAAGACACAAACACAAGGGTTACCTGTAGACAAGATCTTGCTAAGATATATCTGCCTAACAGAGGGCTCTGCAAAAAAGGAGATCAAAGGCACTGATTGTGGGGAAGAGACTGAACTGAGACCCAGAGCTGGAGGTGAAAACAATAACAAAAATCTTCATGTGATTAAAGGAATGACATATCACACTACTGAGCTAGGCTAACCCATGTCCAGCTTTGGGTAAAACCAGGCCATCTATGACTGAATGGGGTTTGGCATGGGGCGTGGAGGAAACTGTTGCCATTCCAGTGTGTTGACTTTGGCAGTCAATGCAGCTTCTGTGGCTTTCCTTCTCTGCAGTTTTAGGTCAACTATTACACCGTTACAGCACATGACTGGCTACACCTTCCTCATAGTAGTTCAAAGAGCAAAGAGGAAATCTCAAAGCTACCAAAGACTTGATGTCCTTAAGCCAATGATCAAGCAAAGCACTAATGTTGCCCTTGAACCTGGTGTTCCTTATGATTTCCAAGTGAAACATTTATTAGATTTTGACCATTAATACCTCAACAGCAAGACAGACAGACAGACACACACACACACACACACACACACACACACACACACACATACACATTATATTTGGCAACCCCCACTACCAATTAGCACATTGATTGTGAACTGAGGCAAGTATCATTTAAAGAAACCATTAATTAATAACTTGGGTCATGAAAATCATTTGACTAAACCCCAACAGGTCAGCTTATGAAAGCACAAAATCAGTTTGTTGCTCTTGCCTCTTCTTCCAAGTACTCAAACTTCACAACTATTTGTGCGTCCATCCATACTCCTTCATCCTTCCTGTCATTAGTGAGAACTGTTTTGGAGAGCCATTTCCTTTACCTAACTTAGCATTTCTCCTGTCTCTTCAAATACCGGGAGTTCTGAGTCATTTGCTCCAGAGTGAATGAATGGGGATACTTATTAGCAAATAGCAGGAATCTGTAGGTTCCTGGG